GGGGGCGCCTCGGGCCTGAGAAGGGGTCTCTCCCCCCCCCATTCTGTCTCAAATGATCTTCCTTCCTTGCTCAGCGCCATTGGCTTTCTTGGGTTCGAGGGGGTCTTGGGTTTGAGGGAGCCAGTTTGGCGTAGTGGTTAAGTGCGCGAGCTCTAATCTGGGAGAACCGGGTTTGATTCCCCACTCCTCCGCTCGCACCTGCTGATGTGACCTTGGGTCAGTCACAAGCTCTGGCACAGCTGTTCCTGAAAGAGCAGTTTCTGTCAGAGCTCTCTCAGCCCCACCCACCTCACAGGGTGTCTGTTGTGGGAGGGGAAGGGAAAGGAGTTTGTAAGCCGCAGACTCCTTCGGGTAGTGAAGGGCGGGGTATAAATCCAATCTCTTCTTCTTCTTCTTCTTAATTGAGGCACAGAGCCAAGCTAGGAGTCCAGTGGCGCCTTGAAGACCAACAAAGTTTGACTTTCTTGTTGGTCTTAAAGGTGCCACTGGACTCTTAACTTGGTTCCATTGCTTCAGACCAACACGGCTGTCCACCACCTTGATTTAACTTAGGCCAGTGATGGTGAACCGTTTAGAGGCCGAGTGCCCAAACTGCGACCCAAAACCCACTTATTTATTGCAAAGTGCCAACACGGCCATTTAACCTGGATACTGAGGTTTTACTTTAGAAAAAACAACTCATACATTAACTTAAGATGATCCAAACAAAGTAAGGAAAGCGATCCCAAAGGCTTTCATTGACTTAAAATGATTTGGCAGAGAATTCGACACTTTAATTCGATGGCATGCGTGCCCACAGAGAGGGCTCTGAGTGCCACCTATGGCACACGTGCCATAGGTTCGCCACCACTGACTTAGGGTCTGTTTGGGCACTCTGCCCTAACCCTAAAACATACCCTCTGTATTCAAACCAGAAGCGGAATCTTGTGCTGATTCTCTGCAATGGTTTTGCTTTGCACGTAGGGCTGCCCGCTCCAGGAGGGGAAGTTCCCAGAGCCTTTTTTGGGTAGGGCCTAAGGAGGGTGGAGATTGCGGAGGGAACTGAACAGACGAACTCTGTCATCTGGAGAGCGGTTGTAATTCCAGGTGGTCTCCAGGCGCTGCCTGGAGGATCACAACCAGTGTTCCCTCTAAGCTGAGTTAGTGTGAGCTAGCCCACAGATTTTTAGCCTCCAGCTCACACATTTTTGTCTTAGGTCAGGAAGGATGGCTCCAGAGCAAACTAACGTATGCTGTAGCCAGATTGCTCGCTCACACCTTTAATGCCAGTAGCTCACAAAATAGAATTTTTGCTCACAAGACTCCACAGCTTAGAGGAAACAACCCCCCTATTGCATGCCTAGCACCTGCAACAGCTGTCCTTAAAATAACGGATGGGAGTGTTGGTTGCAGTTTAACCTTGGCTATATCCCAGAGCTGGCCATATATGTGTCTACCATATATGAAGTCGCCTGTGTTTTGTAGCTTGCTTTTAAATAATAATAATAATCTACTTGATAATGGTCTGCCTTTTTTGGTGAGACTCGAAGCAGACTGTGAAATCAGAAAGGCCCTGGAACAGAGAAAATGCTGCAAGATGCATAACAGGGCATCTTTAGAGGCAACTGGGCATTTTTAGACGGCTTTGGTCGGTCAGGGTACAACTAGAGTGCCTCCCGTGGGGCCCCTGCTGGTGTGGCACTTTTCTCAGTGGGCGTGGCTCACAGGAGGAGGAGGAGGAGACCCTGCCCGTCACTCGGACTCTCAGAGCGGCTTACAATCTCCTTCCCTTCCTCCCCCCACAACAGACACCCTGTGAGGGAGGCGGGGCTGAGAGAGCTCTGAGAGAACTTGTGACTGACCCAAGGTCACCCAGCCGGCTGCATGTGGAGGAGTGGGGAATCAAACCCGGTTCTCCAGATTAGAGTCCAGCTGCTCCTAACCACTACACTGTCAGAGTGATGGGCAAGTGTGATCTGTGGGGTAGCTCCGCACTGTTGCGGGGAGAGGCCCATCATGGCATAGTGGTTAGAGTGTTGGATTAGGAACTGGGAGACCGAGGTTCAAATCCCCACTCTGCCATGAAAGCTCACTGGATGATCTTGGTCCAGTTGCACACTCAGCCTTGCCTACCTCACAAGGCGGTTGTGAACATAAAATGGTGCCCTAAATCAAGGAAACAAAGAGTGTCTGGGGATTTTTGCGCTTTTTGTGAGGCTATAAAACGGTGATTTTTGTTCTTATGGGAGCAGCTAATTTCTCAGGATGAGAAGAACTCTAAAGGCCTTCGCAGAGGTTCTGTCCTGCTTTACCATTTGAGCCAGGCTCAGGCTGAGAATGCATGGGAGTAGCAACAAAAAACTCCCCTGAGCATGTACGAAGCAGCTTTGCTTCTACACTGTAGCAGTCATAGGCAGCCTTTGGTCCTTCCAGAAAGCATCTAAAAGAATTTAAGAAGAGCTCTGCTGGATCTAACCAGTGATCCATCTAGTCCAGCATCCTGTCTTACATGGTCGCCAACTGGTTCCTCTGGATGGCCAACAACAGGGCTTAGAGGCCGAGGCCCTCCCCTGAGGTTGCCTCCTGGCTCTGGGATTCAGAGACTGCCTCTGAGTGTGGAGGTTCCCCTCAGTCACCGCGGCTCGTAGCCACTGATAGACCTATCCTCCGTGAATCTATCTAATATCCCCTTTTAAAGGTGTTTATTCCTGTGGCCATCACTACATCCTCTGGCAGCGAATTCCACATTTTAATCATTCTCTTGTAAAGTTGTATTTCCTTTTCTCTGTCCTGAACCATCAGTTTCATTGGATGCCCTTGAGCTCTAGTCTTTTGGGAGAAGGAGAAAAGGTTGTCTTTGTCAACTCTTTCCACCCTATGCATAATTTTATAAACCTCTGTCATGCCCCCGCCATCTCTCTTCTCAACTGGGATTAGTGGATATAACTTTTCCAACCCATTTGAGTCCCAGCCACACTTGATAGGAACTGGAGGGTTCCCCTATTCTGCACCCCCCCAGACCCCATAATGAGAGTCAGTGTGGGTTTCTGGTTTGGTTAGAGGGCTGGACTAGGATATGAGACCCACAGGCTCCAGTCCCTACTTTGCCAGGGAAGCTTGCTGGGTGACCTTGGGCCAGTCACGCATGTGTAGCCTAAACTACCTCACAGGGTCGTCGTGAGGATAAGACAGAGGAGATGAGAACGATATGAGCCACTTTGGGGGTCCTCATTGAGAAGAAGTAAAAGTAAAGGTTTCCTTTGCTTGAGAGCTAGTCGAATCCGACTCTAGGGGGTGGTGCTCATCTCCGTTTCCAAGCCGAAGAACCAGCGCTGTCCGAAGGCTTCTCCGTGGTCACGTGGCCGGCATGACTAAACGCTGAGGCGCACGGAACACTGTTACCTTCCCACCGAAGCGGTACTTATTTATCTACTTGCAATTTCTTGCTTTCGAACTGCTAGGTTGGCAGGAGCTGGGGCCAGAGACGGGAGCTCACTCTGTCACGTGGCACTCAGGTCTCGAACTGCCGAACTACCGACCTTCTGGTCTGCAGCTCAGCGTCTTAACCTCTGAGCCACCCTGGCCTCATTGGGAAGAAATGAAGTATAGGATGAACAATGCCCTGTAATCAGGCCTCTTTCTTTGATTCCCTGCTTGTTCCCACCTCTGACTTCTAGCGCTTGTTTTTGCCCAAGTCCCCTTTTCCCAGACGCTGGGTCCTGGTGGCGTGACCCCCCTCCTCCAGCCTCAGCGGAGTCCCCCTGGAATG